CCTGTACTGCCTTTAGTCTTTATCCCCATTTTCTCGAAGCAAGAGTTGAGATACAGAATTTATGGAATTTGCCCCAGATCACATAGAGAGTGTCAAGCCTGGGATTTAAATTGTTTGCTCTTTTTCCCTGTTCCATATTGACTCTTGTTACTTTCAACCTACAGCTATTAGGTCCAGAACTGAACTTGACTTCCTCAAATGGGCTTTTCTCTCAATTTTTCAGTCAGGCCAGCACCATTCTTTTTATCACCCAAAAAGACTGGAGACCTCTTCCTCTCCACCAGATTTCTGTATCTGGTTAGTCACCAGGTCTTTAGTTCAAATGCATCTTTTCCTCTTTGTTCTCCTGACCCTGGGCAGCCCTCCATTGACTTAAGCCTGGGCTCATTCATTGTTTTCAATATTTTCTCTGCTGTCCTACACATGAGAGGTGAGGTTTACATACTGCATTCTCAGGGACTGCACCAAGATGTAAAAGCACAAAAATTTGTTAATCATTGGAGTTGTTTGTCAGCAGTGGAAGCTTCCAATGTGGACAGATGTGTAAGTTGCTGTAAGTATGACCTTTCTCTCCTACTCAGGAAAGCACATTGAGAGAGAACTACACTTTATTCTGTTTATGTTTTAAAACTTCCCTCCTCAACAAATGATGCTGGGACAACTGGATAGCCATATGCCAAAGAATAATGTTGGACCACTATCATATATGCTATCCAAAGGTTAACTAAATGTGGACCAGTGACTGAAATATAAGAACTAAAACAAGCAAAGAAAACCTCTTAGAAGAAAACATAGAAGTAAATCTATATGATCTTGGTAGATACTACAAAAAAGGCATGAACAACAGAGGAAAAAATAAAGTAGACTCCATCTAAATTAAAAAATAATATTTGTACATCAAAGGAAATTGGCAAAACTGTGAAAAGAAAACCCACAGGATAGGAAATACTTGCAAATTGTATGTCTAAGAGGAGTCTAGTATCCAGAATCTATAAAGCACTCTTGCAACACAACAATAAAAAGGCAAACCACCTGCTTAAAAGATGGGCCAAAGATTGAGTAGACATTTCTCCAGAAAAGATAAACAGATGACCACCAAGCACATGCAAGGATGCTAATGTCATTTGTTCACAAGGGAAATGAAATTTCAAACCATAGTGAGACATCACTGTACAGGCACTAAGATGGCGATGACAGTGATGGAAGTAAGTCTTCGCAAAGATGTGGTAGCATTGGATCCTTCCTGTTCTGCTGCTGGAAATATAGAATGGTTCAGCTGCTATGGAAAACAGTTTAGCGTACTTTCAAAAAATTAATCAAGGTTGGAACTGGCCAAGTGGCTCAAGTGGTAGAGCACCTGCCTAGTAAGTGTGAGGTACTAAGTTCAAACCCCAGTGCCACCAAAAAAAAAAAAAAAAAGGCAAGGAATTACTGTATATGCCTCAGAAATTGAAAATAGGCCCACAAATATATGTATACACATATTTATATCAACATTGTCTTCAATATCCAAAAAGTACAAATGACCCAAATGTCTGTGGGCAAATAGGTAAACAAACTGTTGAATATACATACATATATAATGGAATATTACCCACCTGTAAAAAGGAATGTAGTGGACCAAGTATGACAGTACATTCCTGTAACCTAGCTATGCAGAGGGAATAGGTAGGAGGATCTGTCTCCAAGGCTGGCCCTGGGAAAAACCTTGAGACCCCATCCAAAACATAATTAAAGCAAAAAAGAACTAAAAAAGAACTAGGGACATGGCTCAAATGGTCTAGTAGATGTGAGGCCCTCAATTCAAACTCTGGTACTTCTCCCCCCCACACATACAAAAGGAATGAAGTACTAATGAAAGCTATAATGTGGACAAACCTTGAAAACATGAAGTGAAATAAGCCACATGTGTCATACTGTATGATTCCATTTATATGAAATATTCAAAATAGGTAAATCATCGAGACAAAGAGGATTGGTTGCTAGGGATTAGAAGGAGGGGAGAATGGGGAATAATTGCTTAACAATGCAGGGCTTCCTTTTGGGTGGTGACAGTATTTTGGAAGAGGATAGAGATGGTAGCTGAACAACACTATGAATGTCATTAAATACCACCGAATTGTTCACTTTTAAATGGTTAATTTTATGTTATGCAGATTTCATCCCAATAAATAAAATAAGTCTATAAAAAAAGCGTAAAGCTTTCACAAACTTTGGTGCTTGGAGGATACCAGGATTTCTTGCCTGGGACCCTCTGCCAAGATTCTTAGGTGGTTTCTGAGCACATCCCCTCTTCTTTGACAACGGTAGAATCCCTAGCCAGGGACTCCTAGATCGGATGCCTGCAGGGGCCCTGTCAGGCAGGGCAAGTGTTGGAAGTCAGCTGGGTGCCCAGCAGCAGGGTGGGTGAGGGTTAGATGGAACTAGTCTATAGCTGTGTAGTCTCAAGGCATTCCCATTCATACACTGTCCCTGGCAGCCCCTTGCCCAACCATCTGCCATCCCCTTTAAGCCATCTGACAGACTAATACCATGAAACCTTTCCCTCCTCCCACTGTACCCTGCCCCAGCCACCTGAGAGTTTGGGGTAACAAAACTGAACTCCATGGAGTATAAGGGTAAGAAATCCCTCCCAATCTTCTGTTTATGAGCTGCTCAGGGATCACCCGTCAGTGGCTGGTGTCCACCTCTGGAGGTGGGAAGGGTGGGTTTCTTTAGTCACTTGCCTGGCTATTTGAATGTCTACTTACTTGCCTGTTGTCTTTACACAGGAGTTTGGAAAGGTTCTTTTTTGTTGTTGTTAATAGATGAAATAGAGAAAGGTTTTTCTTTTCTTCTTTTCTTCTTTTTTAAAAGCTACCTAAGCATTTGAGGCCTGTACCTGCTCAGGATGTGGGAAGCCTGGGGCAGGGAGGGGTGTGGTCGGGGACTGGAGGAGGGTGGAGAGGAAAGAGGCCTAGTCCATTAGGTCTAGGGAGTGGCTTCTTTTGTGCCTCCAGCCCTAGTTCCTAGTAATTCCTGTGTGCTGCTGCTTTTCTGAGAAGCACATAGGTCACAGAGCTGATTGGCCCACATCCTTTCAATATGTGACAATTCAGGGGGCAGGCAAAGAACAGTGTGGCTCTGTGATTTGAGGTACCGACTTCTGCCCTGAAAACCAAAGTACCACCATCCTGGATTCCTTTCTTCAGAGCTGTCATAGTCTTGGGATGCAGATATTTCTTAAGAGATAAAGGTACAGTTTTCTTCAGAGGCCAGATGAAGAACCAACCCAGAAGAGCAGAGTTTAGTGGGAAGCCCTCTGGAGTAACCTAGCACACAGGGCTGAGAACTTTTTTTTTCCCTTGGCAATACTATAAGTTGAACTCAGGGCCTTACACTTGCTAGACAGGTGCTCTACCACTTGAGCCACCCCTCCCGCCTCTTTTTGCTTTATTTTTCAGATAAGGTCTTGCACTTTTTGCCAGGGCCAGCCTCAGACTATGGTCTTCCTACCCGCACCTCCCATGTAGCTAGAACCACAGATATACCTGGCTTGTTGGCTGAGATGGGGGTCTCAACCAACTTTTTACCTAATTGTCCGGGTTGGTGTTGAACCTCAATTTGCCCAGTCTCTGCCTCCTGATTAGCTGGGATTACAGGCTTGCGCCACTGCACCTGGCCCTCTTAACTTGGCATTTTCTTCACTGTTTGCCTGGACAGAGCTGAGTCAACATTTCTTCATTTGCTATTCTGTCTTCAGTAGGTTTCTGTGCCACACTTGCCATTGGACTTGAATGGCAGGATTGAGGGAGCCTTCAGAACCCTAAATTCCAAGCGACCCAGTGTGTGGCCCACAAGAGGTTGTGCTTACACAGAGCCCTCAGAACGATCCCACTTATGAAAACAGAGGCTTAGTGTCCACATACCCAGAGAACTCACTACCTTCCCACTCAGGCAGTTCCACAGCTTACCTTACAGCACTGTAGTCAGTTTGTGGTTTTAGCGAAATTGGCTCCCACAAGGGCACATTTATGGCTGGGACCATCATGTGGATGAGGTGGCTACCTTGGTTTCCACACTTCAGTGCTTTTGAATTAGAATTACCGTGGTAGTGCACGAGGTCCTTCTGGGGCATGTTCACACATTAACAAAGTATAAACACCTGTCTACCTCTGACCTCTCCAACTTATCAGTCACTTCTCAATGGGTTGAGGGAGTTTCTGGATTATGCAGAAATCTTTAGAGCCCAACAGATATGCTTTCTGAAGAGTGTAGGTAAAGTAAACTGGAGCATTTTAGGGGTACTGTCTAGACACTGCATGAAGCCTTGAAAATCCCATGTGCGCCTCCAGCCCCTGTGATCTTTAAGCAGTTATAATCTAGGGGTGGCTCTGGCAGACAGGAAGCTTCGGTAGCTGCCCTTCAGAAGGTCCCCAGTGACTCACAGCTCTTCTTTCACAAAGTATGAATGGCTTATATTTTAAGAGAGCAGACCAGAGTCAAGCTGCCTGATTCATTTCTGGCCGAGTTAGGTGACCTTGGGAATTTATGTAACAGTGCTGTATTCGTGTTTCCTCATCTGTTAAAGATGGCAATACAGGTTAAGTACTCTTTATCCTAAATGCTGAACCAGAAGAGTTTCAGATTTGGGATTTTTTTCAGATTTGGGAATACTTGTATAGGCTTTATTGACTGAGTACCCCTAAATCACTTTTGTATTAGTGATGCTCAACCTGTAAGGTGGTTGTGAGGATTAGAGGTAATACCTATAAAGCATGTGGTACAAACATTGTAGGTGTTTAAGGAATGGGGGCTCCTAGGTACTGGGGACTTGGCTTATATGATAGAGCACCTACTTAGCCAGCACCAAGACCCTGAGTTCAAACCCCCCAAAAAAGGAATTGATGGCTCCTATCCATGATAGCAGAATGATGGAGTCCTCAGGAGGCCTCTGTGTTCAGTGGTTTCCCTCTGTTTAATGTAGATCTGGTTTCATCTGTATTCTTTTCCTTACCCAGTACTGATCCTGCAGAAGGTAGAGAATGGAGACCTGAGCAACAAGATTCTGAAGATCACTGATTTTGGCCTGGCTCGGGAATGGCATCGGACCACTAAGATGAGTGCAGCAGGGACATATGCTTGGATGGCCCCTGAAGTTATTCGTGCCTCCATGTTTTCCAAAGGCAGTGATGTATGGAGGTAAGATCCAGACATGTAGGGACACTGTTCTAGGTCTGTTTTGGCTGCACATGTTTCAGGTCTTGAAGAAGTGAGGTTACATAGAAACCCAGACATGCCACAGAGATCTAAGTGATCCTGTCAGAGAAATCCATGCTAATTCCCATGTCGTCAAGGGATAGTTCCTTATGCTTTGACCCACCAAGAATTCCCTCTTGTGTTGGGCCAAGTACAACCTCTACGCAGGCCCCTTTGTATTGGAGATTGCTCCCAAGGAAAGGTCAGTAGATTCCAGGGGCACCATGTCCACCCATCTCTGGCCTGTAGGATGGTGACGGCAGTGTCTCTCCTGGAGATCTTCCCCAGAACCAGCCTAGCTCACTCAGTGAGCTATCACTGCTGTCCTTGGGGTTGGGTTAACCCATTGTCCTCTCTCTGTGTAAATTCCTGAACCAATGAATATTCCATGTGGTTTTTTTTTCTTGGTAGCTTTGAAATTTCATTTTTCATTTATCCAGCTAATCTTTCATTCAAGGCTCTGTCTGTTGGACATTGGTCTAGAAAGGGGAAAAGATGAGTCCTAAGCATGCCCCAACAACTGCAAAGTTACAGACCAGAAATGATCAACCATCCCCCCTAGTAAATGTCAACCCAAGAGGTCCAAAGGATGTGGATCTACAGTCTTGTCCCCACTGAGGGAGAGTGAGCAACTACAAAGTATATACTCCCTTATGGCTGTAGGACAGGAGCATCACCTTGGTGCTCAAAATGAAGGACTGTGAGTGTATCAATCTATGAAGTCATTGCTTCCCAATGTATTGTAAATTGAGAGTGTGTGTGTATGTGTGTGGGCATATGCCTATATTTTCCTTAAAATAATACCTTTATTGATTATTCACATACCATGAAGCTCACCCTTTAAAGTATGTAAGCCAGTAATTTTTGATACATTTATGAAGTTGTGCATCAGTCAATACTGTTACTAACTTCCTAGGATTGCTGTAAAAAATTACCACAAACCATTTGGCTTAAAGTAACAGAAATTTATTCTTTCATAGTTCTGGAGTCCAGAAGTCTGAAATGGGTGTCAGAAGGGCCACATCCTCAGAGATCCTTGTCCAAATAAGAATTTCTGATATTAGGATATCAGCAAATCTTATTTAGGGCCACCATTCAACCCACTACAACTACTATGTATTTCCAGAACATCTTTAGCCTATAAAAGAAACCTCATACGTATAATCAGTCATTCCCCAACCTGTCCTCCTCCATCTCCCTGGCAACCACTAACTTCTTTTCTGTCTCTGGATTTGCCTTCTCTTAGCATTTCACAAAAAATGGCATCCTACAATATGTGTTCTTTTGTGACTCACTTCCTATGTTTAGCATGTTTTTTCTTTTTCTTTCTTTTTTTTTTTTTTGTGATACTAGGGTTTGAACTCAGGGCCTACACCTTCAGGACTCCACCAGCCCTTTTTTGTAATGGGTTTTTTCGAGATAGGGTCTTGTGAACTATTTGCCTAGGCTGGATTCAAACTGATCTCTGCCTCCTAAGTAGCTAGGATTACAGATGTGAGCCACCAGCCCTGGCTAGCATAATGCTTTTAAGATTCATCCATGTTGTAGCTTACTTCAGAAATTCATTTTTTATAGCTTTGTAATATTCTGTTCTATGGATAAGGCCACATTTTAAAATCCATTCATCAGATGATATAGATGTTTGGGTTGTTTTCACTTTGGGGCTATCATGAATAATACGGCTATGGACATTTACGTACAAGTTTTTTGTGTATGTGAATATATTTTTTTCAGTTCTCTTAGGTATGTGCCTAGGAGTGGAACTATAAGTCAGATGGTAATTCTGTGTTAAACTTTTTGAAGAACCACACACACAGTTTTTATCACACTAGCGCCATTTAGATTCTCATTAGCAATGTACGAGGGTTCCAGTTTCTCCACTTCCTTTTAATACTTGTTATTGTCTATTTTTATTATAGCCATCTAGTCTATGTGAAGTGATACCTCATTGTTGTTTTGATTTGCTTTTCCCTAATGACTACTGATGTTGAATCTCTTTTCATGTGTTTATTGACCAGTTGTATATCTTCTCTGGAGAAATGCCTGTTCAAATCTGTTGCCAGTTTAAAAATTGGCTTATTTTTATTGTTGAATTGAATTTTTATATATTTTCCTCATATAAAATATGCAGATATATTTTATCAGATATATTATTTGTACATATTTTTTCCATTCTGTGTGTTGTATTTTTTTTTAACTTTAGTGGTGTTCTTTAATTTTGATGAAGTCCTATTTATTCTTTTTTTCTCTTGTTATCAGAAATGGAAGGGTTTATTTCCTGGATTCACAGTTCTGCTCCATCAATCTGTATGTCTGTCCTTATGCCATTACTACCCTTTCTTGATTACTGTATAGCTTTGTAGTGAGCTTTGAAATTAGAAAGTGTAAGCTCTCTAATTTTGTTAATTTTTCCAAAATAGGCAGCTGGGATTTTGATAGGAATTGTGTTAAATCTGTGGGGTTACCTTGGGGACCATTGACATCTTAATAGTGTTTTCCAATCAATGAACATGGGATATATTTCCATTTGTTTAGGCCTCTTTTAATTTTTTCAGTGTTTTATAGCTTCTGTATATTGAATCTTATTTTGCCACCTATTAATTACAGAGTGAAGAAGCTAATGAGAAGGAGTAAGTTTTCCTTTTCTTAAACTATTTGGCCTGGTCCCATTAGGTTGAGCTCTAGCCTAATATTCAGCTGTTTTAGATCTTTAATCTAATGAGATTAAATTAATATATTAATGACCATATGCTAATGAGATTAATTAATATATTCATTAAGCTAAGCTGCTATTTAAAGGAGACCTGTAGATAAAGAAGCTTAAATAAGATAGAAGCATATTTCTCTTTGAAGGAGTAGTCTAGCCAGTCTGGGCTGGTGGAACAGCTGTGCCCCATGAGACACAGGTTCTTCCAGGTTGCCTCAGTGCATTGACCTTGACCAAATGGTTAAGCCTGAGTGACTGTTAGTTCTGTATGATAGTCTGCAAAAAAGGAGGAAGAGAGCTTATCCATGGCAAGCAGCTTATAGCACATTCTTAGTGGGAAAGGAGAATACACATGCCCAGTGTAGGGTCTTACAGTGACAGAAATGGCAAGCAATGGAGAGCAAGGCTGTTGCAAGGTTTTGTCCTCCACAAGAGGAACTAGGCAGAACCTTTCAACCTTTACCCACGTGTCCTTGTTCCAAGACAAAGGTCCATGTCTTGCCCTTCAACCATGGATCCTGAAAGCCAGCTTGAAGAGCCTCTGGGGAGAGGCATCTGGTGAAATTATTCAATTCTCTAAAGGGAGTAACTTGAAGGTAAACTGCAAGTCAGCAGCCCTTTGGGTGAAATGTCTTGGATATTGTCATGTGGTCTACCAGTGGGTTTCTAGTTTAGAATTATTCCCAGTACTTAAGCCTCCTGACCCAGTTTAGTTGACGAATGTGGTTTGAAAACATAATTTACCCTGCTTCTTCCCAGTTTTCTTGGTTCCCATGCTGCAGGATATACTTCAAGACACAATTTATTGAATTCATTGCAGTGGCTCTAATCTCTGTCTCCTCAAGCCTATTTATCTGAGTGGCTCCAAATGATCTCTCACCTTTACTAGAGAAAAATGTATGCCCATTGCTATATATATGTGGCAATACTTATACACTGATAGCATGTCAGCAGCTGTACACTCTTGTTTCTATTATTTGGACAACCTCTTCCAGAATGGTCAGCCCATCATGCCTTAGAACCAGCAGTGTCTGAGAGAGGGCCAATACATGCCTAAGAATTTGATACAAAGCTGGTTCCTGAATTGACTTGTAATTCATTTACTCATTCAAGAGCTGTTTATTGAATGTTTACTCTATACCTGGTACAGTGGCAAATTCCTGTCATCCCTCCCATCCTGAAACTCATCCAAGGCCTCTGGATCTCTGCTGTTGCCAGGGGCCCAGCCAGCTAGGTTTGTGACTGTGCTCTGTGTGGTTCTGTGAGTCTCCTCCACACGCTGTGATGGAGGTAGGATGATGTGGCCTGGATCCTCGTCTGTATAAGTTTGCCATGCTGTGTGGATTGGGGCCCACAGAACTCTTCTCCTGTGGTTGTGCTATGTATGGAGAGTAGTGGTTACAGCCAAGGGCATAGTCATGTAAGAACTTCTTGCTTACTGTATGTGGGATGAGGTGGAGGCATTTTCTTAATCATTTTAAATTTTAAAAATTGCAACAATAAAATGTTCCCCATAGGGAAAAAAATTAGAACATAAACAAAAATGGAAAGAGAAGAAAATTACCTTTTACCCATTTATAAAGAAAACCTATATAGTTATTTTGGTATATTTACCCCATTTGTGTGCTTATTCTTCCACCCCTAAAAATGAGAGCATTAGCTGCTTTATAAATGTAATATTGCATGAACATATTATGTTAATGAATATGTTATGTCAATAAAAATATTAATGTGTACATTGCATGTACACATCAATAAATATATCGGTTTAAATGAATTAACAACCAGAAGAATAATTGTATGTTACTTTACTATTTCCAGAGTGCTTTCATACACATTAATTAGTTCAATTATCTTTGCCAGAGATTGTTAGATAGCCTGTGAGGTTCCCAAATTGTGGAGTGATAAACAATTACCAAATACAGGGGATTCCCCAGCCCACCTCATTCAAGGGAGACCAATCCTTGTTTTCAGAGCATGGCCCCATACTGGCAGCATTTAGAGATGACACGGCTAAAAGAAAAAGCTCTGGCTCAGCTTAGGTACAGAATTGTTGTGCTTTGGTTGGGAAGGGTTGCTGCTTGCTCTTATCTCTTCCTTACTTTCAGAAAAATTAAACACCTTCCTCCACCTCTGACTCTCTGAAATGGTTGAAGGGATTACTGAACCTCTGGAGGTGATAATTATTAACCCAAGGGTTAGGTTAGGCAGTGAGAGAGCTGATAGCTCTGTGTTGAGGGAAGGAACTCAGATTTAGCTGAGATGGCTCTTCTTGACTGTTTATAAATCATCTTGAAAGGACTTTTTCACCCTTTTTCAGCCTTGGGGGGGCAACAAAGTAGACTAAACTTGAGGTAAATTATACTTGACTTCTGATGCTCACCTACCCTAGTGTTCAGAGCCACCTAACTTGTACTTCTCCAGTTTCTTTTTTGGATTTTATTGCTGCCAAAAAAATACCAAATCTTTTTTTATGTCACCCACCTTCAGTTGTGAAAATAAAGAGGACATTGGCACAGGAAAACTGACTGGTGTAGTCATCTTCAGAAAGACTGCTTCTCAGAATGCTGGTGTCTCTCAGCAAGTTTCACCATATTGGGCTTTACCTAGCTCCCCCTAGGAAGTCCTCATTGCAGGACTTTCCAAGAACAAATCACATGTTTACCAGCCATAGTGGGAATTTCTAGATGAAGAGTGGCTGTTACTTATTCCTTGTGACTATTCTGTGAGGTAGGCTTTGCTGTCTTCATTGTAGGGATAAGGAAATTAGGGTTTGGAAAGGTGGTCTTGACTCACCAAGGGCACATGACTGGTAAGTGATAACTTAGGCATCCGAAGGAGGGTAGTGACCTAGGTCACTCTGTCTTTCTGGGTTGTATTTCCCCTACTTGAACAGCATTTCTCACATTTCTCTTAACTGTGGAACCCTTCAAGTAGAACAGAATGCAGACAAACAAGGCCAGTAAAAGCAAAGCTGCCCTCATCGAAGCTGAGAATAATAGGCTGTCAGTCTCTTCTGGGTGGACTGAGACGCCTCCATTGGATACTTAGGGCTCAGTGGGAGAACCATCACAGGAGGGACATGTTTGAGTCTTTGGAACACTCCACTGTCTTTCCAGGTATTTAGGTCTCAGACACCAATCATCTTTGCCTGGATGGAGGACAGGAGATCTATGGGACCTTTAGTTTTTGTTCTCCAGGAAGAGATGGGTATCGATGCCAAGAGCAGGCAGCTGAGAATGAGAGTTCTCTAACCTTAGTCAGCAGCGTTGAAGGTTCTTTGAAGTTACTTAGTATAAGCTGCCCAGTGTGGCCACTGTCTGAATAAGTCACATTAAAAGTTTGACAGAAAGGAATTGTGCAATTCTCACCTCCCCATCTTTGTTTCTCTTTTTGTGGTGCTAGGGCCTCATGCGTGTAGGCAAGTACACCACTACTGAGCTAAATCTCCAGCCCAAAAAGTACAATTCTTGATGATGTTTGAGGCTTACTCTAGAGCACCTAGTGCAGCCTACAGGACTATCTGACCATGTGCTGATTCCCACAATCACATACCAACTCATATCTGTGATCACATACTGTGTACCAGGGCCAGACCTAGGCCCTGAGTGCAAAGAATAAAAACTGCTATCTCTGGCCTTTAGGAGCTCAGAAACTTGCAAACAAACGACTACATTACAAGGCAACCCAATTAAGGGGATGTCACAGAAGGCTTCCTAAAGTTGTCCAATGTTCCCATCAGCCACCAACAAAAATCCAACCTCTGTCTAAACAAGTCAAGACCTGCAACTGGCTATTTCATGTCAAAATACATAAAATAAAGGCAGGCACTAGTGATTCACACTGGTAATTCTAGCTATTTGGGAGGCTTAGATTTGGGAGCGTTATGGTTCAAAGCCAATCCAGGCAAATAGTTTGCAAGACCCCATCTTCAAAATAACCAAGCAAAATGGACTGAAGGGGTGACTCAAGCAATAGGGCACCTGCTTTGCAAGTGCAAAACCCTGAGTTTAAATCCCAGTCCCACCAAAAAAAAGATACATTAAAATATTATTATCTGGAAGCCTAAATCCATGGTCCAAGGAGACTTACCAGGTCTCCCTGACAACTCATCTATGGACCCACAACCCAATTCCCTGGCACAGAGGTTGGCACATTGTTCTTTGGAGCCAGGCTAGATCGCTTTGGACTCTAAGGGCAAACCCATGCTCTGGATCACTTATCTCTGTACATACTGACCCTTGTCTCTGGAGCTCCGGCCCTCTTTCATTTAGCATTTAGAGCTCAGGTCAAGGGTCCCCTGCCATTCCCATTCTGATCTGATTTAGGTGATCCTTTTTTGTGTTCTAAAATCTCTATTGTGATTCATCATTGTATTTTAGCTGTTATTTTTCTATCCCACTCATTGATCTCTTTATGCATAAGATCTATGTCTTTTATCCTTTATCCCAGTGCCTGGCATTTAGTTTTACACAGAGTAAACATTTAGTAGATGTTTAATATGAACAAATGAATAAATGGTGGGCCATTTGAGTTGGGTCTCGAAAGAAAGTGTTCACCAAGCAGAGAAATGGTAGTAGAGTACTCTAGAGAGAAAAGATTGAGGTGACTCAATGCCCACCATCATGTACTCTGTGTGCATCACATATGCCACTAAACCTAAGACTTGCTTTCTTCATCTCCCAAGGAATGATAATACTTACCTTGCAACTTTGTAGGGATTCAAGATGATGCTTGTAAACTGCCTTAGCACTCTGCACATACAAAGTATCATGAAAGCTGAGGGTGTGGCTCAGTAGTAGAGCACTTGCCTAGCATATTCAAAGCTCTGGGTTTGATCCCCAGCACTGTGAAAACAAAAACCAAAACAGTAACCAGGCATAGTGGTGCATGCCTATAATCCCAGCACTCTGGAGGCTAAGTCAGGAGGATAATGAGTTCCAGGCCATCCTGGGCCACATAGCAAGACCCTATTCTAAATAAATAAACAAGCAAAGTATCATGACAAATAAATACTGGGTTTATTACTCCCATTTAATATAGCTTTCATTGCTGGCTCCATACCACTGTTGAGTATGACAACAAATTGGAAGTTGGTGCTGAAAGTAGAAGGAGCTCCATTTTTCTGACAGTTCATAGCCTTATGGTTTCTTGTCCTGACTTATTCTTGGAAGGATTGAGTGCTAAGTGATTTTGCTTGTGAGCTGTAGAGCAGTTCTTTCACTAAGCTTTGTATATTCTCTGACTGATAGGACATGAGAAATGCTTTATGTGGACTTGAAAGGTAGGGAGGGCACACAGCTGATATACTGCCCTGTCCTATTGAAGCAGTCTCCCCTTGTAAAACTTAGCCCCTCAAATAAGACAGAAGTCTTGGTTAGTACTCACTTGTAATGATCTGGAAGCAGGAATCTATACAGTGAGGTAGAATTTAAAGAAATCTTTCACAGGAACAAACTCTCTGTTGAATGTTCAGCTCTTTTCTTTTTAAATTTCTTTTTTTCTTTGGTACTAGGGATTGAACTCAGGGCCTAGCACTTGCTAGGCAAGTACAGCAATGTGCTTTTCTTAATGCTAAAAAATCTATCTGACAAAAGCCAAAGTTTTCCTAAAACAGAAAAGGTTTGTGTTCAGATGGCCACCTCTTCTATTTCATTAACAGTAGCAGTATATAGCTATGGCCACTGAGCCCTTATTTAAGCCTCAGTAGGTCATCTAATTTTAAGATAGCCTTGTGAGAATGATAGTAGTATTTGCTCTCTATAGAGGAGGATTGGAAGTGTAGAGAGATAGCGTCATTGGCCCAAGGTCTCTAAGCTAGGGAATGATGGAACAAGACTTTGAAACCAAGTGTGCTTCACTCCAGAGTCTTTGCTTTTAGTGAGTGGGCTTTGTGACTTCTATGTTCTTTTACATTCGTTAGTCTCCCTATGTATTAAAGAGGATGTGAGATGCTTGCAAAGCTTCATGGGCTATTTCAGTGAAGTTGAACCTGAGGTTTCTTATGCAGCTTCTGTCTTCTCTTTCTAGCTATGGGGTGCTGCTCTGGGAGCTGCTGACGGGTGAGGTGCCCTTCCGAGGCATCGATGGCTTAGCAGTGGCATATGGAGTGGCCATGAACAAACTTGCCCTTCCTATTCCTTCTACATGCCCAGAACCTTTTGCCAAACTCATGGAAGGTAAGTAACCCATTTGCCTAAACAAAACCAGTTTACCTTTTTATAACCCTTGGTAGATGTTGACCAATTTCATGAGATCATTTTCAGATTTCAGAAAGCAGTGATAAAGTATTAGTCACCCAAGGAAAGTCCTGGGAGCAGTTGGAGGCCATACTTCAAGACGGTGGTTATGCTGCTGAGGCAGGTCCCTTCTGCTCATTTCCAGTGACTATAGAAATTAACTTAGTAAAGTTACTAAAGCCTGCTATCTAGTACTTCAGTATCTTATTTAATACAAAATTGGAAGGTTTAGTAGCTTTTATTTCTGAGTGTCTTACATGTAGAAATGAATAATGTTTACACAGAAAGGAATTCTGAAGTCTTCTAGTCAAATCCCATAGTTCTGTGAGAAATGCAAAGCTGAGCAAGGAGAAGAGAATAAGTGGTGAGCATTCAGAAAGCAGAGGCAGGAGGATTGCAAGTTAAAGGCCAGCTTCTACATAGCAAGACCCTTCTTAAAAAAGAAAAAGGAAAAGCTGCTACCCCATTAGTTATTGGCTGAGCTAGGATTAGGCAGAATTATTTTTTTTCTCTTACTTTGATGTCTTTGTCTTCTTATTCCATTGAGATGGAGAAAGGGTAGTTTGTGCATTTATGGGAAATTGAGGCCTGGCATGCAGTTACCCACTGTTAGGACTTGAATCATTTCATTTCATGGTAAATTGTGGTAGTGGTACTTGACGAGAAAACTCTTTGGGCTTACTTTCCTTTTTCTTCTTTTTTTTTTTTTTTAATTTGGTGGTACTAGGGTTCGAACTCAGGGCTTCACACTTGCAAAGCAAGCACTCTTCCACTTGAGCCACACCTCTAGTCCTGGGCTTGCTTTTCTTATACTTAGTTACCAGGGCTGGAGGGTACATTGGATTTTCAGTTTCACTTTATTTGGTTGTGATGTTGGACAGCCTACTTTACTTCCTGAGTCCTATTTGGGGTTACCTAAATTCCAATCTCTGTTTCTAGGAAGAGAAATGAGAGAGGTAGTTTTCTGGTAAATTAGGTCACGTAATACCCTAAGTCATGTTTGCCTCTTGTCCATTCATACTTTCTGTTTCCTCATATATTTCATTCAGACTGCTGGAATCCTGACCCCCATTCACGACCATCTTTCACAAGTATCCTGGACCAGCTCACTACCATAGAGGAGTCTGGTTTCTTTGAAATGCCCAAGGACTCCTTCCACTGCCTGCAGGATGACTGGAAACATGAGATTCAGGAGATGTTTGACCAACTCAGGGCCAAAGAAAAGGTAAAAAAGAGAAAAAAATCATGCTGAGTTAGTGGGCCTTCTCTACTGGAGCCTTTGGACTAAATCTGACCAACCATCACCTTCCTGCTTTCTATCTACTTACTTGTCTGAGCTAGAGGGAGAGAACCATTGGGCAGCTGCCAGTGGGGTGTCTCACCCTTCCAGCTGAAAATGTGAAAGGATTCTGGAAAGTTTCTTAGTTCTGCAGTAGACGTCTATAGGGAGGTTAACTTCAAATAGGGATACTTCAGCATTGACAATAGCTATCAGAACATCCTGCCAGTGTCTTTTGGTATCAGAATCAAAAGCAGGATATGAGCTAGAAATATCATGGGTCTGAAATTATGTGGCATTTTTCCTGTTTTTATGGAACTAACTGAAGTGTTCAGAGATTCGTAGCCTGCTAGAGATTTGCCTTTTTGTTTCTGTGACCATTCCACAAATGGCCCCTTTCTATTCCTTTGGTGTGTTCGTAGCGGTAACTATTCACACAGGTGAAGCAAGTCATAAATATGTCACCTACACTGTAGGGGCAGGGCTAAATCTAGGGATCTGAGGGTTATCTATCCAGACTTGATTAATTTTTTTTTCCTTCTCATTCTACACTGTAGAAATTTAGAAAGTCAATAGCAATTTCATAATTATAATAGCTAAAATTTTATTTGACTTTATTGTTTCCATGTTTTTTCACTTGAAAGGTCTGATGAGACCTTTTTGTCCTTTTTATCCAGGAGTCTGAGGGCTCCTGTCATCAGTATGTAGGCCACATATTACTGTTTCTATCTCAGAGCCAAGAGATAGGTCACAGAGCTAATAAGTGGAGAAGCAGGACCTTGAAACTGGGCCTTCTGATTCCAAAACTTTTATTTTTTGGAATATCACTATTGTCCCCCTATACAAATGACTTAAAAATAATTTCTGGAGCTGATTTGAAGTGGTTAGTCTCTTTTGTGAAACAGCAGTCCTAGATACAGTATTATTTGGCAAGTCACTGAGTGTTCTGTAGGGGAATGGAATGACCTTATGACTCATCTTTATGAACCCTGTAGGTAGACCTGCACTCACCATTGATGGAATGATCACAAGAAAACTGTTCCTGTCACTACTACTATTCTAACTAGGAGAACTCCCAGGGTGGCTGGCTTTTTTTTTTAATTGCTAAATCACTGACTCTTGACAACCTTTCCTTTGATTGATAAAATTAACACAATTATAAATCATACAAGCCAGTTATAAAAATGAAAATTGCATTTTGTCAGTAAGTAGCTACAATTATTCCCCACCCCCTTATCCAGTTTCATTTTCTGCAGTCTCAGTTATCCATGGTTAACCATGGTCCAGAAATATTAAATGGAAAATTCCAGAAGTAAACAGTAAGTTTTAAATTGCACTCCATTCTGAGTAGTATGATAAAATCTTGCTCTGTCTTGCCTGTGAATCAATCATACCTGTATATGCTACCTGTCTGTTAATCACTCAGTAGCCATCTCTGTTATCAGATTAACTATCATGGTATTGCATACTGTTTTCAGGTAACCCTTATTTTACTTGACAATGCCCCAAAGCACAAAAGTAGTGATGCTGATAGTTTTATAGGCTATTGTTATAATTCTATTTCATTGGTAGTTACAGTTACTAATCTCTTATTAGGCTTAATTTATTAACTAAACTTTCACAGACATGTTGTAGGAAGAAGCTTAGTATATATAGGGTTCTCTCCCATCTGTGGTTTCAGGCATCCCTTGGGGGTCTGTTCCAAGACCCCCAGGGACGAGGGGGCACTACTATTCTGGGAAGTGAAACGCATTCTCAAGATAGCTAATGGTGATAGAGCACATACTGTGCGCCATACTCTGTTATAGTTTATATGAATTGTCTTGTGTTTATGATGTCAGTGCTATTAACTCCAAATTGCTTGTGATGCCTACTTCACTCCCCCAGCTCCTGTATCTAGGGCTTAGGCTGTGGCATTTACTTCTCTGGCTGTATCCTCAATGGACTGCTCTGAGCCTTACTTTTCCCACACTCAGGATGGTCAGGTGTTCACTTACTAGCTATTGAGCCCCTCCTTTGCACTAAGCATCTTAGGTCTCATTCTAGAGCCCCTCTGATGGTTCCACCCACTTGCAGGAGCTCCGCACCTGGGAGGAGGAGCTAACACGGGCTGCGCTTCAGCAGAAGAACCAGGAAGAGCTGCTGAGGCGTCGAGAACAAGAGCTGGCTGAGCGGGAGATTGACATCCTGGAACGGGAGCTCAACATTATCATCCACCAGCTGTGCCAGGAGAAGCCCCGTGTGAAGAAACGTAAGGGCAAGTTCAGGAAGAGCCGGCTGAAGCTGAAGGATGGGAACCGAATCAGCCTCCCTTCCGGTCAGTGGCCAGAGGCAGGAACTGGAAGCAAGATCAAGAGCTGGTATGGTAGGGGGATTTGTAGGAGCTGGCTGAGCATGAAAACACAAGATCCTGAGTCAAGTGGGCCATTCTGTTCAGTGAAAGACTGGCTTATTGAAAATCTACCCACTCCAGGGAAATCAGTGTTAGTGAATGCAGAATTTGAAGTGAAGTAGACTGGCAGGGCCTGGGCTGCTTAAAGCATAGTCCTCACTGTAGGAGGAGCTGAAGAAGAGGGTGGGTGATTCTAGGGTGTGTGTATGAGATAAGAGAAATCTTGACTCTGAAAAACAGTTCATCGCAAGATTTCTTTAAATAATTAGTTCTCTGAGTGAAGTTGAGACTAGGCTTAAGCTAGGCATGACAATGCAAACCATCGCTCAGAGGAGGAGGCCAAGGCAAGAAGATTGCAAGTCCGAGGCCAGCCTAGGCTACTAGCAAGACACTGTCTTAACACCCTTCCCCCCCGCCAAAAAAAAAAAACAAAACACAAAACCAAAATGAATTTTCATGGTAAAATTTACACATAGCCTTTCAGAAATGCATTGGCTAAATAAAGGTACATTTGTGGTACTATACCCTTGGGGAAAATGCAAAGAAATGTAAAACTATGAATTAGAATCTTTTGGTATATAATGTACCCATGTAGGAAGATGAGTGCTTATATAAATGTTTTTATAAATGAAAACGTTCTTTGTGTTCTGAGTCTACATTGGCCCAGGAAGCAAGCATATTAGAAGTGTAAGGAACCAAGGAAAATGGCATAGTAAGAGCAGTTGTGAATAATATTAAGCCTTAGGATAGTGGCTTAGGCACAGACAAGAAAATTCATTCTCCATTGACATAAAGAAAATGGTTTCTTTGCTGCATATTTCTTTTTGATTAGCATGGTATCTTTAAGCACCTCTTGAGGATCTGGCCTGTGCCAGGATATTGCTGTGTGTTGGGGATGCAGATATAAATGCTGTAGTTCCCACCTTTGGGGATATCACAGTCTAGTGGGGAGATCTACATGCAAATAAGCAGCTGTTTATTATGCTTCTTTGATAGGTGAGGAGACTGAAACCCAGAAATACAATTTTACTTTCTTTATGCTATACCATAACTGCCTTTGGAATGTGTCAGAATTGGGGCCACTTGCCCTGTCTCCCTTGGATCCCTAGGTTCCCACCATACGCCATTTTTTGATACCCTGCTCTGCCTGCACTTAAGGAGAAGCATCAGTTTTGGTCCCTAAAGAGAAGCATCAGTTTTGGTCCCTAAAGAGAAGGCGTGCACTAATGCATCACATGCAGCCACAAATTTTAAGTTAATTTCTTATAATAATCGACAAACTCTTGTGAGCTAAAAAGCTGGTTTTCCTATGTATTCGCTCCACCTATACATATTAAATAGAGAGCTTTGTGAAAACTAATGACATTCACTCAGTGAATTTTCCATCATTTCATACATCCATCTTGCTACATCTGTTTCGGAAAAAGAGGTAATTCTGAAAGACAGTGCTTCCCAGGTAAACAGTTCTTTTCAGGAAACTGGGCCTTCCCCTCAGTCCTGCCAGGAGATAGCAGATTTTATAAATGAATTTGATGATGGGATAGACTTAATGCATGCAATTGTGTTTGTCCTTCCCCAAGCAGATTTCCAGCACAAGTTCACGGTGCAGGCCTCCCCCACCATGGATAAAAGGAAGAGTCTTATCAACAGCCGCTCCAGCCCTCCTGCAAGCCCTACCATCATTCCTCGCCTTCGAGCCATCCAGTGTGAGACAGTTTCCCAAATTAGTTAGGGGCAGAACACACGAGGGGCACTTGTCCTTTGCTCAATCCAGCTACCAGCTGATTCTGGCTTGCTCCATCCATAACTTCTGCCTCCCCTCCTCAACAGTGTATATATACATGCATACATTGCATATGTACACAAACCCTTACCCTCCCCGTCTCGCTCTTAACTTTACTGCTGCCTCCCTCACTTTTTATTATTGGCTAACTATCAGCACCGGGGTTTGTGGGTACTGAAGGATCTTTAGTGAATTACAAAGCAATTTGGAAACTGCTGTGCAGCGTAGACACAGGTTGGTACCTGGGCCTGGGACCTAGCACACTCTCTGCCCTATTTGTTTTTCTTTTGTCCATGCTTCCCAAGCAAGGACTCGTCCAAAGAAAATCCTAAGAAGACTTGCCAAATATTCTGTAGTGGGCCAAGCCTAGATCAATTGTATTTTTGCTATAATCTCTGTCTTAAAAATATATGTATACATAATATGTATATGTGTGATATGTATATGTGTGCATGTATGAATGAATTAATTTCCCTATTTGAAGATACATTTCATTTAAAAGTCCTGGATTTCTGGCCTTCCTTGAAAAATCAAATAGTGGGTTCCTTTCTCATGTGGCCACAGTTGGCTGGAGCTGATAGCAGCTTCTTCCACGTGCTGCATAGTTTGCTTCTGTCCCCTACCTCCCTGTTTTTTGATGACTGGCTCACTTCACTCGTTTCTGATATAAGGCCCCCAAGGCCATTGGGTCTCGGCTGTTGCTCTAAGGTATCAGTGTCAGAAGACTGTTCCTCCCTCTTGTCTGTTGTATTTCTCTAGGCCTGTTCCTTTCCCTCTCCTTCTCCTGACTTCCTTCTCCATATTCCCGAACTCTCCATTTTCTTCTTTTATCCCCCTTTCCTTCTAAAAGTTCTATTCACCCACTTTTTCTTACCCCTTGTCTTTTTTTTTTTTTCCTACCAACCTCTTCATTCTCCCACCAACCAATTCCACCCAGCAAAACAAGTTCCTTAAGTCAAATCTGTTTGGAACTCAGGTATCTGGCTGGCCTGAGCTCCAGCTTTACATTTTTACATTGGACTTGTGAAAATTTAGGAAGTTTTTCCCATTTTTAGTGCTTTGTCAAAGTACTATCCTGGAAAGGTCCACTTGGGCATAGTTTCTGATGAGATCTAACTTCCCTACAGCTACCAGTGTGTGGGTATGTAGTTAGAGGGGTATGAATGGTATGTATATGTGTGTGCGTGATGAGGGGGGTGTGGTGTGCATGTGTATGTGTGGGGGGGTGGGTGTGTGGTGTGCGCATCTGCTGGAGTAAACACTAGTTTTGGAGGGTCCATCTCCATTTTCTGGATCTTATCCAACCTTTGTTATCCACAGTGACACCAGGTGAAAGCAGCAAAACCTGGGGCCGGAGCTCTGTCATTCCAAAAGAGGAAGGGGAGGAGGAAGAAAAGAGAGCCCCAAAGAAGAAGGGACGAACATGGGGGCCAGGGACACTTGGACAGAAGGAGCTTGCCTCAGGAGATGAAGGGTAAGAGCCAAATGACGTGAAATTCTCTCTTTAAGATGGATGCACCATTTAAAAATATGATAGAAGTACCTTTTTCTCTATTGCATGTTTCAGTGCTACCTGAGAAATTATAAGTTTCTTTGTCTTTACAGTAGAGTTTTCTAATCTCTCAGTTCTGAAGTTCCAAGCTCTTAGGACCATAATTGTCAAGCTTCTCCTATAAAGGGCCAGAAGATAAATATTTTAGGCTTTGTAATACATACAAATTTAAAGTGACAGAGAAGTACAAAAGCAGCATAGACTTTGGGTAATACATAAATAAATGAGCATGGCTATGTTCCCTTCAAATCTCATGAAAACAAATGGTGGGCAGGATTTAACCCACCAGTGTGGTTTGCTGCCCCCTGCAGTTCTACTCAGAGTAACAAGTAGCCCAAACATTAAGGAAATGCAGAAAGCTCTGTCTGAGTGTTTTACTTATACTGTGTTCTTCCCCTTAAAACATCTGTTCAGAGGAAAGCAAAGCCAAAGCAAGGAAGGTAACAGAAGACTCATCCTGAAGCAGAGGCAGGTAGAGAACTCAGCCCTGGTAGTGCAGTGGAATATAACTGCAGGACCACTAAAACTTCTTTCAGAACTCATGCCATGGACATGTGTGAGTGCTCACAAAGCCTGGGGGCCTTGGTGTCTTGAGTGTGCTGTATATTCATTTATGGACTTAAGGCCTAGGAGGCAATTCTCCCCTGCACCCTGGGTTCTTCATAGGCCAAGCACTTGTCATGCAATAGTGAAAAGTTTAGATGTTGACACCAGACCGCCTGGGTGTGAAACCCACCTCCATCATGCCTAGCTATGTGAGCTTGTGTTTTCTCATCTATAGAATGAGGATAATAGGAATACCCAGCTAATGGAGTTGATGTGAGAATTAACTAAGTTTATCTGTGTAAGGTAAATAGATGATTAGCTGGCTCGTACCATTTGTAAATATTAGTCAGGATGATTCTTCCTGATGGTTTACACTTTTTATTCTTGGTGTTAGACTCTAATGTAACATTTCCTGATTTTCTAAGTGTCAGAATAACCAACAGTCCCCTTAATCTTTTTTAGTGACTTCCCAAAGACCTTCTAAGATAGGCTCATATGGGTTCCCTGAACCTCTAACTGGCTTTGGTAATCTTTTGAATACATGTTCAAAAATCTCTTTTCCTATGTCAGGTCTGAGCTCAAAGTGAAAATAACAGTTTGATTCAGAAAGGATTGACTCTCTAAAGCCAGGCTTCAGAAATCACTAGATACCTTTGAGTAGAAAATTTAGACATCTAGAACAAGCTACCTATGCTATGCATAAATTCAGCACTCTAATCCTTGGGAAACAGCAGATTGCTCTATTCCACCAAGTTCTGTAGGAGCAAGAGCTTTCCAATTTATCCTTTGTGTACTGCGCCTAGAGTATGGTCTGAGAAACTTGGTCACCCTCTATCTCCTGACATTTCTGACATTATTGTAATTCCAAATAGAGTTAACCAGGCTGACTCTGGGTTCCAGTAATTTCTATGGTTCTGGATCATTTACAGATATTTTTGTAGAAAATTAACTTTATTTCACATTATAAAATTTTGACTTTGTATTTTTTTCCTTCTTAAATAGATTTGTCCTCATAAACTTTTGAAGAAATTAAAAAAAAATGTACCTTAGGGCTGGCAGAGTGGCTCAAGTGGTAGAGCACCTGCCTAGCAAGCATGAGGCCCTGAGTTCAAACCCCAGTGCTGCCAAAAAGGGGGAGGGAGGTAAAAATATGTGCCTTATATTATCATGATTATCAGTTCCTACTGAAGAAATGAAAGAATATTTTGTTCAGTCTTCAGTAAAGGTCTCTTTGCCATCAGAACTTTTTAAACTCTGCTATATGACAGATTATATATTGCAATTATATTCTATTGTAATCCCCATTGACTAGAGAAAATAACGCAATGGCATAAAGTTGTCTTGAACTCAGTAATATTAAATGAATTTTCATCTTCATCCTTTTAACAAACATTACATATCTGTAGGAAACACACACACTTGTCTATAGACATCCTAAATGTCTTTGTATTCACATTCCCCTTGCAGTTACTCCATAACTGGACTGAACCTTTGTCCCACAGACTGGGAGGGCTTGGGCCTGAAGCAGCTCAAACAGGGCCATCTTGTTGAGGTCCTTTCCTGACTGGACAAGGGGAGGGTGGCTGGTCATATAGGCTAGTCCAGCCTTGTTTGTTGGGGTGTGGGAGAGGCTGAGCTGGCTGTGCTCTGCCCTGTGTACTACTAATTCTCTTTACTCATTAAAGATCCCCTCAGAAACGGGAAAAAGCTAATGGCTTAAGTACCCCATCAGAATCTCCACATTTCCATTTGGGGTGAGTCCAACTTCACCCATTCACCAGCTGTAATGGGAGCAATCACTTTCCATTTCCTTGTTCTCATGCCCCATAGAATCAAGCCTCAGCACTGCAAGGGCTAAGCTGACTTTTTGTTTTTTTTTTGTTTTAAAGAGCAGTACCATCGTGCACCTTGGGAAAATTTCTGTGTAATCTGTCTCTTGACTACTCCAATTGTTGGGATACTATTGGCACCCTTAGTGTTAGGGAGAAAGCACTTGGCTATTTATCCTTCAGTCTTGAACACTGGTTTTGACTTTACTAATCTGTATAACCTTTGATCCAGAGATTAGAGCTGGAATTGATGTTATGGTTACCATTTGGAAGTCGCAGGCTGTGAGTTTAACAGCATGCTTCTCTCTGACTCTGTATTTTAGTTGAAACCAGTAGAGACTGATATTTCTGATAGCATTTGAAACAGAGTTCTGAGATCAGGGAGAAAGCCGGTTCTTCTCTCTCCCTCAGGTGGCCTGGGTGTTTGGGGGAGTGGGCTTTAGTTGAACAGGTCTTTAGCATTAAAAAGCAGAGCCAGGGCTGGTGGAGTGGCTCAAGTGGTAGCGTGTGAGGCCCTGAGTAAAAAAAAAAAAAAAAAAATTCCAACTCTGATTATAATCCTGGATCCTCCAGTGCCACCAGATAGCACACAGATTCCTCAGTGTTCCCTTTTACTGTCCTTTAGGAAAAAGGCCCAGGCTTCCTGGCCTTTGATACCTCCTTCATGTAAGGGGGTTGATGGGGGACCCAGTCGTATCCTTGGAGAATTACCAGCTTATCAAATGAACTGATTGCAGGGATTTGAAAGTGAGCTGCTGTCCTCTTTCTGTGCCCAGACAAGTGAGGGCTGCATATACTGTAATGTACTACCCACATAGGTCTGTCCCAGCGTGCACTGGATTGGTACAGCCTTGTTGGTTGGTTGGTTGTTTTGAAAAGTGGATGGCTTTGAAAGTTGCTTAAGCATGTCAAACAAAAGTTGGGAAGGAGAAATTGAGAAATGATGTGAGTGGATGGCCCGGCCATTTCTGCTGGTTCATTTACCCCATGCTTGCCTTGTGTTGCAGGTGTTTGCATCACGGTACTTCTAATGTCGTGAATGTTATTACATTCAGTGTTTGTGTGGATTGACTGTCTTTCTTTAAGAATGGCTCAGGCAGGACCTCCACCAGCTGGGCAGCTTTCTGTTTGCTTGCCAACCTGCCCACCAGATCTTTCCACAATTTCACAGCATGTGAGGGGCTGGATCATACCACTGCTTTTCTTTCCCTAGAGCATGTGCACTTCTGTTTGTGAGTAGATGTGCTTAGTAAGAGTTGTTACCCGTACCCCAAGGCTCTTCAGTCTGATCAAACAGATAAGGGGGACATATTCCATAGGCCCTTGGAGGCTTGAGTAAGAGAAATAGCCAGTTCTGATGCTCTCTTCATTTCTTCTTCTTCAGCCTCAAGTCCCTGGTAGATGGATACAAACAGTGGTCATCCAGTGCCCCCAACCTGGGGAAGGGCCCAAGGAGTAGTCCAGCTTTGCCAGGGTTCACCAGCCTTATGGAGATGGGTAAGCTCTTGTCTTGGTTCTCTCCCTGTTCCCTCAGGACTTCATGGACAAGTTTCCAGGATTATTTAAGGACCCCTGGTACTATTCATAGGATTTGTTTCATCTTTTACTTGACCCCCCATCCACCCACTCTATCCTTCCTTAGTCTGTTCTACTCCCATTCCATTGAGTCTTCCCAAATCACAGTTGCATTCTATTATGCCATGGAGCCTACCCTTGGCTTCCTACTCCAAGGGGCCAGTAATAGTCTCCTTAGGGCAGTACAAAAGGATAAGTAAGACCTTGAATCAGACATATATGAAGTCTGTTTCTTCAAGTATTAATGGGGGGAGTTCATAAAGTAGAAGATGGTGATACAAGACACTGTAGTCCTCTTCCCAGGAAGCTTTCCAGTATTGCCCTCTGATTAATTAAGGGTGGGTAAGTTCTTCTCAGGTTTTCTCTTTCAGTAGTCTTATCTTTGTGGACTTCCAAGGTCATAGTAAGTCAGTCTGTGGAGTACTTTGAACTTCACCCATGTTGGTGAATGATTCTAATCATTTGTGAAGATCACTCTTAAGACAAGTTGCTAGGTTATCACTCTAGAAATCCAAAGGCCCTTCCAACTTTAAGGTATAAAAACATTAGGAATGTTTCTGTTCTGGCCAGTGTTCTACAAACTCATACTGTACTTTGTATAAAGGGCTCCTGTGGACTTGAGAGTGTAGCCCAGTGGTAGAGTACTTGCTTAGCATGCATGAGGTCCTGAGTTCAGTTCCAAGTATCACACAAAAAAGGGTGTCCCTATGAAAGAAGTAGCAAATTAGCAGATCTGCAAATAGAAAAATGGGCTCTGGAATATAGATTGATTTCCTCGTGATGGTCACAGTTGAATAGAGGTGGGTAAGGGGAGGAGGGACGATATGGCTCTGTTGGTTCAATGTCCAGTTACATGTTCTGCCCATTAGTCTATTAGGTCATTTCATTCCAGACACTGAATTAGGAGGCCTGGGTTTGGGGAAAAGGATCAGATTCTTATTCTTGCTTATTTCTTCCCTATTTCCCTTCCTCTCTTCTCATCTTCACAGAGGATGAGGACAGTGAAGGCTCAAGGAGTGGAGAGGGTCGCCTTCAGCATTCACCCAACCAGTCCTACCTCTGTATCCCATTTCCTCGTGGAGAGGATGGGGATGACCCCTCCAGTGATGGAGTCCATGAGGAGCCCACCCCAGTCAACTCAGCCACCAGTACCCCTCAGCTGACGCCAACGAACAGCCTCAAGCGTGGTAGTACCCACCACCGCCGCTGTGAGGTGGCTTTGCTTGGCTGTGGGGCTGTTTTGGCAGCCACAGGCTTAGGGTTTGACTTGCTGGAAGCTGGCAAGTGTCAGCTGCTTCCCCCAGAGGAGCCTGAGCCACCCGCCCGGGAAGAGAAGAAAAGACGCGAGGGTCTTTTTCAGAGGGCCGGCCGGCCTCGTCGGAGCACCAGCCCTCCCTCCCGAAAGCTCTTCAAGAAGGAAGAGCCCATGCTGCTGTTGGGAGACCCCTCCACCTCCCTGACGCTGCTCTCTCTCTCCTCCATCTCTGAATGCAACTCCACACGCTCCCTGCTGCGCTCTGACAGTGATGAGATTGTGGTATATGAGATGCCAGTCAGCCCAGTTGAGGCCCCACCCCTGCCCCCATGCACCCACAACCCCCTAGTCAATGTCCGTGTGGAGCGCTTCAAGCGAGACCCTAACCAATCCTTGACTCCCACCCATGTCACCCTCACGGCCCCCGCACAACCAAGTGGTCACCGGCGGACTCCTTCTGATGGGGCCCTTAAGCCAGTGGCTGTCCAGACCAGCAGGAGCCCCTCCAGCAATGGGTTGACCCCTAGTCCTGGAGCAGGTGAGTCTCTTCCTCTTCCTCATTTCTATTTCCTTCTTTTGTGACTCCTAGAGATTGGAAATGTTTTGTAGTGCCTCATTTCCTTTTTTGACTTCTGGGTATGAGTAAGCCCCATTCCTTCTCTTACTCAGCCAAGCAGGTCACGCTGAGCTGGACTCAGGGATGTGGCCAGAGCTGGCTGATTTCTCTCTATTTTGTGCCTTAGAGGGTCTTCCCCGGAGTAATCTGGGTTCTAGGAAGAAGCAGACTGGGCTCCAGTGGGAACTAGGGTAGGGCAGGAGTCTAGCTTCTGGTTATTTCCTGAGGATACTGCAGCTATTGGGAAGGAATGCTGCACTGCACCTGGAAGGGATGTTTTCTGCCACGTAGCTGGGCTCATGCCTCCCATTATCACATTACTTCAGACACACTCATAAGGTAAGCTTCTGCCCATTCATCATGCTCTCCAACACGCATCTCTGACTCACACCTCTTCAGACCTGGAGAAGTGTCCAGGCAAATTATATCCATGTGCACATTCTTGGCTTCTGCATCTGACATCAGAGACTCTATGGCATACTCTCAGCCTAAGACTTTCCTGCCACCATCCCTAGCTCCCTAGAGGACTAAGTCTGGCTTGGAAACAGCCTTTAGTCCAGTGAGAGAAAGGGAGATAAAAGTGCCAGGGACTATTGTATTTTACCATTCTCTTGGCCATCCCTCCCATAGATTTGTTATACTCAGGCATGTAACCTCTTTGGCAACAGAAACTATATTCCTCACCTTTAGACTTCTGCTTCTTAGCTCTGTTCCTGTCATGTCATTATTAAATGGATGAACAAATGAATGATGGACATTCCCTTAAGTCAGGGGTCAGCAAACTGTTTTGAGAAAGGGCCAGATGGTAAATAATTACACTTTGTGGGTCATACTGTTTCTGTAGTAACTGCACAGCTATGTTGCTGTAGTTGGAAAATAGCCACTAAGTGTATCCACAATATGTTCCAGTAAAACACAAATGGCTAGCTTGTGGGTCTTTTGCCAATGTCTTCCTTAAGTTATTTCATTACAGATATGACACCCCTCCCTATGTTACTGTACTGGGCACGGGGACCTAGACCTTCTAGTTCACTATTGCATCTCCAGTGCCTTCTGGCACACTGCATGGCACATAGTAGGTACTTGGTAAATGTTTGTTAATTCATGTTTCCCTGAGTACATAGGAATATAGTAGAATGGGGTAGAAACAGTGTATAGCTGACCTGGAAATATGGTACCATCATCTGATGCCCCTCCTTTTATTTCCCTGACCAGGAATGTTGAAAACCCCCAGTCCCAGCCGAGACCCAGGTGAATTTCCCCGTCTCCCTGACCCCAATGTGGTCTTTCCCCCAACTCCAAGGCGTTGGAACACACAGCAGGACTCTACATTGGAGAGACCTAAGACTCTGGAGTTTCTGCCTCGGCCACGACCTTCTGCCAATCGGCAACGTCTGGACCCTTGGTGGTTTGTGTCCCCAAGCCATGCCCGCAGCGCCTCCCCAGCCAACAGCTCCAGCACAGAGACACCCAGCAACCTGGACTCCTGCTTTGCTAGCAGCAGCAGCACTGTGGAAGAGCGTTCTGGACTCCCAGCCCTGCTCCCATTTCAGGCGGGACCACTGCCCCCTGCTGAACGGACGCTTCTTGATCTGGACGCAGAGGGGCAGAGCCAGGACAACACTGTACCTCTGTGCAGAGCTGAACTGAACACACACAGACCTACCCCTTATGAGATCCAGCAGGAGTTCTGGTCTTAGCATGAGAAGGGTGAGGGGTGGGCAAGGGGGAGGCCAGAGGAGATGGAGGGAGCTGGCTGGCACAGCCCTTTCTCAGAGTTGGGCCTCCTGGGATCCAGCCCTACTTCTTGCACTGAAAATGCACTTTGAAGATAGAAGGGATGGAAACAGGGCCACTTCAGAGAGTCTCCTGCCCTGCAGGGCTTTTCTACCCATGTCCACTGGAGGGGCTATGGCCATCAGCTCTGGCTGTGTAAGGGAGGGAGGGTGCATGCATGTCCCCCACCCTCCATTCTTCCTAACCTTTAGGGTGACCCTGCAGAGTCACTCAGCCAAATCTGTCTGTTGCTCCTTCTCAGCCAGAGCTTTCCTGGTATTCCTTTGTTAGCCCCGAGTTCCACCTTCCTACACACCAGTATTGGATGATCTGTGATTCATTTTGCTCCTCTTTCACCTTCTCCAGCACCCATGAATTGGAGTCTTGTTTGGTGTAAGATATGAGCTATCCCATGTCCTAAGTCCTTTCTTGCCAGCTGGAAGACTGAGGGCAAGGTGGCCATGTGTGGGGCATAGTGATTGATAGAGCTGGCACTACCTCCCTGCACTTCCACATGCCCCACCTATTTACTTGAGCCCAAAGGTGGTAAGGAGAACTAGCTTCATGGAAATGGAAGGGAGGGAGTTAGGAAAAATGCAGTCAAGTTGTCATGAGTTGGGTAATGAAGTCTGTTCTTACTTTGTTTTGTTTTGTTTTGTTTGAGATATACTCAGTGAAGGGCAGAAACCAGCACTCATTAAAGGCCCCCCATCTATCTGCTTGGGGTCAGGACATGGTCACACCAGGTTCTGATCCAAACATACTCATCCCAGGACCAGCTTGGGGGACTCACTGGTGCCAGTTCTAAGTCAAACAGTTCCTGTGTTTGTCTCTTTTGTTGTGAATGTTTATGTGTTATTCCCTCCCCTTGGTCTTCTTTCCACTTCCTGGAATCAGTGGGCTTTAGGTCATGTGTTTGATTAGGAGATATCTTTGCAATATACCAGAATAGCATAATGGGATGGGTCCTGTACCTGAGGGTTAGAACTGTGAGGGATTCCTTCTCTGCCAGGCCATTCATTTTGTTGACGCCCTTGAAGTAAAATGGAGCCATTGTTAGTACCTTATGTAAATGGATGTAGTAATATGATGCTGTTTATAAGGTGCTCAGCAAGCCACTAATGTACAGTAGCCTTGAAGTCCTAAGCACTGGACACTGATCGTACCAGTCTTTGTGCACAGATAGCCCTTGTGCTGGCCTCTGCACGATGAGCTAGGTAGGAACGACAACAGAGACAGTTGCTGACTTGTCTGGTATTTGTTTCCTGAACTTAAATGTTGAGCTTTGTCTAAAACCTTTTCACATATTTCTTCACTGTCCACTTACTCTGAGGGCTCCTGTGTTGTGTGTGAACCATGATCTTCATGTGGCAATAATAGCTTGTTTGGGAGTACAATCCTCAGATCATGCTCCTCTTCACCCAAGACTGTGCTGCTCCATGGTCCTTTAGCATGGTATTCCATTCTGTGGTGATGTTAGAGGTGAATCTGCAGTTCCTCATGCTTGCTGCCTGGATGCCTGAAGGGGAGAGGTACAGCTGGCATAAGTGATGAATTTGGGCAATGCTCTTTTCCCTGTAACTGTGATAGAAGTCCTGTCCTGGGAAAAATTAAAGAGGTAACCTTGGTCATCACACTGTTCTTTGCTTTATGAGTCCATTTGCTCTTTGGCTCAAGGGTTCCAACAAGCCTTGGACTGGTGGTATTGCCCAGGGTTTTGTTATTGCATCTCATCTTATCTCTCATCTCTGGTTCAGTGAAGTCAGAAAGTAAGTGATTGATTACTTTTGTCCTGATGTTCCTACCTCCTCTGCTAGGAGAGGGAAAAAACGTGAATTCTCTCAGCAGTTCTAATCAACCCAGTGAGGAGACTTCATTCTTGATGGGGGGAAGAACAAATATTCTGTTCTGTGCTCTTTGTCTGGGCCTTCCAAAACCCATGTCCCTAAGCCAGAAACACATCTGACTCTACTAAATGGCGCTCAGGTAGGCTGCAGCCTATAGTGTAGTCTATAGCATAGAGCTATGCTGGCTTTAAATTCTGCTCTGTGACACGAGACAGAGATTTTTCCTTTGCTCATTCTTTCCTTTTTGCTGTTTTGTTAGGTTGCAGCCATCTTTCTTGGCAAGATGTAGTGCAATGGATGCAGTGTAAACTGCATGACAGCTACCTGCCATTGAGTGAGAGGTTGAATACAGTTTCTACTCATCTGCCCTGTGGAAAGACCAGGAAGGGTCCTTCCTAAGGAAATAATTGTACCTGAGAGAAGCAAAAGCAGGGTTATTATAACGATGCTACAATTAGCATGCTTGAAGGTAGAGGAATTGGCATCTCTCATTTCCTCTAAGCCTGGGCTCCCATGGGCCCCTGCCTGCTACACTCTGTGGAACATGGCTGGAGGTAGGATAAAGATCAAGAAAGTAGTAGTTTCTGTGGCTTGCTCTGTGGTCATGGTTAGGAGCAGACCCAGAAGCTGTAGATAAAACCACTTGAGCAGCAGTAGCCACCCTTCCTTTTCCCTTTCTTTTCCTTTTCTCAAAGAGATGGTTCTTCTGCAGTTAGCAGGTAGTCCCTATGTGGAAGATGATGATAGGAACAGATACAGCTCTCTGCTTCATCGTCGTTGGGTCCTTCAGCTCTTTACTACTGTGTTTATATTTGATTATCTTTTCTTTATCCCCTTGGGGATCTAGGCTGCTGTCAGGAGCTAAATAGATGCTACAGCTATTCTAATGCTTTTTTTTTTTTTGCCATTTTTGATTGTTGCTTTGAACTTGGCATCCTATGGCTAGGGATGTAGCTTAGTGATAGAGCACCTGCCTAGCAAGCACAAAGCTCTGAGTTCAAACCCGAGTACTGAAGAAAAAAAAAACACATATTCATTCATGTGTGTGTGTGTGTGTGTGTGTGTGTGTGTGTGTGTGTAAGCAATGAACTTGGCATCCTTTCGCATTGCCAGGGTCTGTTAATCATGATAATTACAATGTCTTACAACTCAGAATAGGGCTAACTTTTCTCCCTGACCTTTATAAAATGATAACATTTTCTTCCTGCATTTAATGCCCTACCTGGTACAGGAGGGAAAATGCTTAAAGATGAAGATGTAAGCAAAGAGAAATTAAAAGGCTATTTGAACTGATTGCTAAGTTGGACCACTGGACTCAGAGACTGAACAAGTTAGCTCTGTTCCCCCATCTGCTTTGGCTATGTGACCTTAGGCTTGTCTCTTAGCCCCTCTCAGATTTCTTTCCTTTTGAAGACCTTGTCACATGCTTCCCCTTACAAGGGCAATAGGAGTGTGTATCACAGGTCAATGAAACACTGTGGCTCCCTGCCAGCTCCAAGAGGAAGGTTCCGCCATCTCTGCAGGATGAATATGCTGAAGCTGACATTGTGGTTCTCCCCACCTTTGCCTCAGGGGATCTTGCTTTTGTTTCATCTGGAAGAGAAGTGATTTCATCTGGAAGAGAAGTGATTTAGAGTGTCTTAGCATGACTAATGGGCACCATGGCCAGACACATGCCTCTGACCATGTAATGTAGCACTTGGTATTGACAAGCATCCTTTCCTAATTCTCCCACTTAACCTGGCAGGCCAACCATCTTCACCATTTCTTACAAAGGAAGATAGAGGAGATGAGAGGTTGGTGGCAGATTCAGAGGGACAGTTGGCTGTCTCTGCTTTCTTAGGGTCATTCCCAGGGTCATATTTAGTAAGAGCCTGGAATCAGGCCAATCCCTGGAAGAATGTTTGGGAAAGGGTCCCATTTCCCATGGGACATCGTGTGTCATAGTATGGGGCTCCTCACAAAGCCCCTTTCCCCTCAGGCCATTGTTGCTCAGGGACACAAGACACCCCCAGGATGTCTAGACCTGACCTTTGGTCAATGCTTTTGTCTCCAAAGTCCCCATATTTAATGACCCTCCTATCCCTGTGCAAAGACTGGACATTCCTAACTGGTCAAGCTCACTTTTTTTTTTTTTTTTTTTTTTTTAGTGCGAGGTCCTCAAACATGCTAGGCAAGAGCTCTACCACTGTTAAGCTCACTTTTAGCAGAGTAGAGGTACTGAAGGCTGGTGGGTTGCAAATGGAACACCTCAGGGTTGAAATGTCCATCCATCCAGCAGCCCCCACCCCCATGAATACAAAACCTTAACATTTTCATCTTGTGTTTATTTGAGCCTGTGCCTTTGGGTCAGGTGTATGAGAGATGGCCCAGGCAGATAATATAGAAATACTCCTCACCCCTAGAAGGACTAAGGGAAGAAAAAGCAGGTCCTGCCATTTGTATAGTGCCAGACTTATCCTGAGGGTTTAGCCAGATTGTGGACTTGGAGCAGAGGTGAGAGCGGCCCTCGGTGCATTGTGGGCATAAGTAAATGGGGTGGCAAGAACCTAGTCATTTGAGCTGTCTACTAACTTGCAAATGTCTCCCCTCCTCTGAACCTCAGAAGCCCAGCTGAACAGGGGGTGATGCTGCCTTCTCCATCTGAAGCCTCTAACTTTAAAATGTAAGATCCTATAAAATGTATAATCCTAGCCAGGTATAGTGGTGTGGGCCTGGAGACCCAGACTCTCAGGAGGCTGAAGCAGGAAAATCGCTTGATCCCAGGAGTTTGGGGCCTGCCTGGGCAACATAGCCAGGACTCCCCCATCTTTTCAGATGTATGGTTTTGGAGCCCCAAGTCCAGCACTGATAAATCTCACCTTGCTAGATTATGTCTTTTGGTGGAGAAAAGCATGTGTGTATGTTTGCTTGTAGGTCAAAAACCGTTGAATATCTGCTATTTCATATGGTTCAACTTAATGTATCACTTGCCCCCTCTCCTTGGCTTGACTTAAGATGACTTCTTACCAAGATTTGGTTATTGTTGGCAACACTTTCCCAAATACCTCTCTGAGTTCAGGCAAGTCACTGTTTTCCTAGATCCTAATTAATAAAAAGCTCTACAAGTAAAAGGAAGACCCACTGCTGCTTCCAGGGAAATCTCAGTCTGGACTTTTCCCTGGCATTGCTGCCTGGGTGCTCACTACTTCATGTGCCAGTGTTGGAAGGCAGCAGCTAGGAGTGGAACTTGTGGCTCAGTAAGGCTAATTAATAGGTGCCTGACTAGCCTGACCCAGCCCTGGGCTTTTGGTTAGTTCTTCAGGCCAGGTGAGTCTCACTGGCTTTCTAGGGCCATTTCTAAGTATATTCAGTTCTTCCTGGTGAGATATTGACAGGCCCCAGTCCCTGCTTTGACCATTTCCGGTATAAGCCCTAGAATCACCCTGGCTTCCCTAGGCTGCTTAGGGAGCCCTGGCATTGGCTTTTTGGAATGTTGGGTTCTCTTCCTGAGCTTAAGCCTATAGAATTGTTCCTTCCTGATTCTTATTGCTTGTGGGTCCTTATGTCCCCTACATGGAGCCTGCTTTGGGCCTTGAGCTGGAAAGAGAAGAGGCACAGGGCTTGGTTGGTTACCAGACTGGGGAGCTTTTTCACACTTCTGTTTCCCTGATCCATCTTCCCTCCTGACTGGTCTGACCTGCTCTCCCTGCAATGCAAGCGAGTTTTACTGGATTGATTGGCAGGTGTGGACATAACGACTAGATGGGTGTATCACAATGAGATATCAGAATCTAGTTCCAGCAGTTCAAAGTCAGGACTTTCCTGCTGGGATGTGTGCGGTGGGGATCCTAGAACTCTGAACTCAGAGTCAGAATGGCTATAAGAGAAGTCCTGGCAAGCAGAGTCCTCATAAGTATGATGTTATTTGCTCTGCCCTCACTAAAGACCAAAGCCAGTTTGAGAAATAATATGTGGCCCCCATTCCTGAGCTCTTTCATACCTAGACACCTGCTTAGACAGAACCTGACTTGACTTAAAATTTTGATACTGTGTTCATCATGGATTTTTTTCATTAACTTGATTTTTTTTAGAATACTGCTTTGAATATGATTTACCCCTTGAATACTGAGGTTTGTTTCTTCTTTTTGTTTTTTATGTTTCCTTCAATTTTTCACACAAGGCAAGTGCTTTACTCACCTCATCCTGGTACCCAACCTCCCTGGACTTAGGCATCATTGTGAAGTAACTTTTCTTTTCTAGTTGCCCTTCCCCTCCAGTCCTGAGGGAGGCAGGCACTCTGGGAGTCTTCACATTTACAAAGGAATGTATTGATTTACACCAGTGAAATACCTACTTTTTAACTTTGGACCTGTAACTGGAGATGATTTTTCCTGGGTGTTCTCTGGCTGCTTTTCAAGCTCTCTCAATCTCTGAGGCCACTTTCTGGGTACATATGTGAAGTGTTTGAGGCTAGCTTTGACTACAGAGTGAAACCCCGTCTCAGAAAACCAAATATACCCAAACAAGCAAACAAATAAGAAAACCCTTTGAATTCCAGGTGATGCAAATAAACCATTCATTCTCTTTCCCAGATCTCAGAAGGGACCAAAGAATGGAGACTTTTCTACTTCCTCCTGCATCCAGCACTGCGCTCTCTAACCTTGGGCCTCACATTCCCCTCCACTTTGCCCCCCACATCCCCTGCCAGTATCATTTTCACTGCCATTACTATTCTCCACTGTCTTTATTTCACTTGCATCATTTATTCTACCTCCAGTTCCACAAGTCACACTCCCTATGCCTCTTTTCTACATTACTGTCAGAGTGAGGCATGGGTTAGTTCTGGCCTAGAAATGGAGACTAGTAATAAGAAACCATTAAATTTCTTGCACACAGGAAGTGATGTCCTAGGGATTCATGTGTACATATTTATGACTCCTGGGAGTCAATATAATAATCCTGGGAGTTGGATATTATCCACATACACATTGGATATTATACACACACAAGGATGTGTAAATTGAGGCTCAGGTGGTTATATAACTTGCCTGGGGTCACATAGCTTGGAAGTGAGGTGCCAATCTGCTTGATTTCAAGGTGGGCATTTTTTCTTCTG